CCGTCCCTACACAGTCAAAAACTCACTATAACTTTAAACTCTACAGTCAACCCTTCGCATCCACGGATTCAACCAACCATAGATCAAAAACAGTAGTATTTTTCCATCCTCAGCTGAGAATGCAGATATACAGTTTTCTATCCATGACTGGTTAAATCCCTGCATATGAAACCCCTGATAGGAAGGGCCAACTATATTGAAACAAATCCAGGTGTAAGTGGACCCAGCCAGTTCAAACCCCATGTTGCTCAAGGGTCAAATGTAGAGAAACTAAAAAAAAAATCAAGGCAGGTGTGCCCTTTGCAAGGCTAAGCTATAAATGTGAAGTATTTTATCTGGCTTCTTTCCATTGGCTGTTGCTCACCTAACAAAGAAAATCTGCTTTTGTTTTCACAGTAAGAATGCTGATGAAGATCAGATCAAAGCTAGGGTAGAGCAGTTGAGATGTCACTTTACATGGAAGTTGCTAATTGAAGATACTGAACTGCTTGATTTAGAAAACAGGGTCTTTGATGAAATTGAGTTCTTAGACACAAAATTCAATGTGGGAATACACAACCTACTGGCCTATGTGAAATACCTGAAAGGCCAGAATGAAGAAGCTCTGCAGAGTTTAAAAGAAGCTGAACACTTAATGCAGGCAGGTCATGCGGACCAGTCAGATGTGAGATGGCTGGTCATCTGGGGCAACTATGCCTGGCTGTATTACCACATGGGCAGACTGGAAGAAGCCCAGATTTACCTGGACAAGGTGGAGAACAGTTGCAAGTTTGCCAGCCCCTCCTACTACACAATGCAGTGTCCTGCGATGGACTGTGAGGAGGGATGGGCCTTGCTGAAATGTGGAGGAAAGAATTATGAACGGGCTAAAGCCTGCTTTCAGAAAGCTCTGGAAGTGGAACCTGAAAACCCTGAATTCAACACTGGATATGCAATTGTTGACTATCGTCTGGATGGCTTTAACAAAGTAACACAAGCTGATGAGGCATTTTGTGTGCAGTCCCTAAAACGGGCTATCAAGCTAAATCCAGAAGATGCATATATTAAGGCTCTCCTTGCCGTGAAGCTTCAGGATATAGGACAAGAAGCTGAGGGGGAAAAGTACATTGAGGAAGCACTGAACAACATGTCTTCGCAGACCTATGTCTTTCGATATGCAGCCAAGTTTTACCGAAGAAAAGGCGCTATGGATAAAGCTCTTCAGTTCTTAAAAATGGCCTTGCGTGCAACACCCTCCTCTGCGTTCCTGCATCACCAAATAGGGCTTTGCTATAGATCACAAGTTTTTCAAATAAACAGAGCTACAAACTGGCAGGCTAGAGGACGGGATAGAGAAAATTTGGACAGAATAATAAGATTAGCCATATCTCATTTTGAATTTGCTCTGGAACAAAAGCCAACATTTGAAGTAGCTTATATACACCTAGCAGATATGTACATAGAAGCAGGCAACTACAGAAAAGCTGAAGATGCTTATCAAAAACTGTTAAGCATGAAATCACTTAAAGAAGAAACACTGCAAGAGATTTATTTCAACTACGGTCGATTTCAGGAACATCAAAGGAAATCTGAAGTCAATGCAATTATCTATTATTTAAAAACAATAAAAATAAATAAGCTGTCAATTGTAAGAGAAAGAAGTATCATTGCTTTGGAGAAACTGATTTTAAAGAAACATGAAAGAAATAAAGCAGACATGGAAAGCTTGAGCATCCTTGGGCTCATCTACAAATTGAAAGGAGAAATGAATAAAGCCCTGGAGTATTATGAGCAGGCCCTGAGGCTGGCTGCTGGCTTTGAGAACTCCGTGGGACATGTTCCTTAGGCACTGAAATATGGACCACTTTCACAGTTCATTTGATTTTTATGTTGACATGTACTAATTATCTTTTCTGCTTGCTGCTTTCAGAAACATGTAATTCTTGAACAATCATGCAAACCTGATAAAATACTACTTGTATTCAGAAAATAGTGAAACAATATATATGTCTGTGTGTGTGTGAGAGGTAGAGAGACATAAACCATTTCTCTGTGAATGTTACATAATAGAAATAACAGTTTGTGGCAAATAAAACACTGCACTGCTATAAAGTAAAATGATTCATTCATTTTGTCAACAATAGTTTTCAGTGCTAGATGCCAAACATACTATGGTGATGTAAGGAACATTCTTTGCCTCTCCCCATCTTAGGGTTCCTGACAGCGGCCCCATAAATAAGACAAAGAAAAGACAGATTAATGAGAAAAACAAATAAGAGTTTATAAACATGTGCATCTCACATACACATGGGAGTACCCAGTGATGAGTAACTGAAAGAGGTGGTTAGAACTTGGGCTTATATAGCATCTTAGCAAAAGAACAATAAATTTTCAGAGAAGTGATAAGACAAAGGAAAAGAACTGATTTTCTAGGGTGGCAAATTGTAGGAAGGGAAATATAAGGGGCAAAACTACTGGAAGATAGCTGCTAGTTAGTGAGGTTTGTTATGTAGATTCCTTTGGAAGTGACTGGAATAATAGTACCTGGAGTTGTCTCAGGTGATTAATTTCTGTCTTTCCTGGTAAAGGAGGTGGGACACTTTCAAGAATTTACGTGCTACTTTTAGGCAGATGGGTGATAGAGAGCTTTTCCTATATCTGCTTCTCAACTGCCTTCAGTTCAAAATAATGTGGTATATTTGGGGGTGTCATATTCTACTTTCTGTCAGTGAAAAAAGCACATTTGCCCACACCTCATACAGTTTACAGTCTAATGAGACAGTAAAACAAGGACACAGTCAATTAAAGGTCATCTTTCTCCATGAAGATGCTTGAAATTGAAATTTGTCAATTGTTCCAAATAGTTTCTCTTGTTTTGTGCCAGTTTATTTAAGGTGTGGTAGGGAGTTAGACAGACATGAGCAGAGCAAGGACGATGGGTCAGGTACAGAAGGTCACCAGGGTAGAAAGCCCCAGGTACCTAGCAATGAGCAATCGTTGGGTGGGACCTCACCCCCAGGGTGGCCTTTCCTCCCCTAGCACATCATTGGTCATGCAATTTGGACCCCCTGATCTTTCCTTCCTAGAGATAACATGTAGGCCTCAGTTGTATTTCAGCTCCAGGCCCAGAAAAGCAACAAAACCAGCCACAGCTGACCTCAGGACCAGCTGCATTGGATAATGACCCCTGCCTTGGAGCCAACCAATCAATCAGTGGAGACCAAAACCCTGAAAGGACACACCTGGAAAGCTACTGAATATTATAATAAAATCTTCCCCTGGGACCTCCCCTAAGATCTCCACCCTTAAAACCCTTAGGAAAGAGGACCCAGTGCGCTCTCCCTCCCTGGAGCATGCCCTAGCCTTTCCTTTCCTCCCTCCCCTCCACCCCACCAAGGCTGTTACCATTAGCTTCCTCACTCCCAAGCACCAAGGCCCCTTCCTTTGCCTCTATAACTTGTTTCCTAAGACTATTTCTTTTAGGAATTACTTCTACCTCTGTGATTTACCAAATAAATGTTATCTTATAGTTCGAGTCTTGACTCAATTCTTTCCTAGCCAGAACCCAAGTACCAAGGTTGCTGAACCCAAGCCCATTCTGACTCCACCAGACTTTAACACCCAGTGCCATTCCCACTGCTTACAACAAAAGCACTATTTATCCAGTCATTTGCTGGTATTGATATTGTTAGATCAAGAAATACGAAACTGATGCTAAGTGATCTGAGAGGTCATTTGTGGCAATCACCTCTGATTATGACATTTTATTGAAAGGCAATGTACTAGAAATAATATTTTTAAAAGGAAAAAATAAGAAAGCAATGGTATTGTTTTTCCATTGCTGTGTATGTTTTTGGGGAAGATATATTGTCAGGCATGTCAGGTAAGGGCTGGTAGGTCTCAGTGTCCCATCCAGGACCCCGACCATTCAGCATGTGCGCATGACGGTGGCCTTATGTAATGCTGATTCAGCAGAATGCAACTGCGCGACATTAGCCCACTGCTTGCTATAGTCTATATAACCAGCCCTGTGCACAATAAAGGAAGGAATCGTTCTCTTGATGTCTGCTCTGCGGGCCTTCTTTACGCTGAGGATCTCGTCTCGGAAAACACCCCTTGCAGCCTCCCTCCCTTGACATATATTAATTTCCTATTGTGGCTGTAACAATTTATCACAAACTTGATGGCTTAAAATACAGGTTTATTATCTGAAAGTTCTGTATGTCAGGAGTATGAAATGTGTTTCATTGGGCTGAAATTAGATGTTGGCACAGCCATACTTCCTCTGGAGACTCTAGGGGATAATCCTTTTGTACATTAACCAGCATCTGGGCTCCCTGCATTTCTTGGTGGGGATCCCTAAATCCATGAGAATACAAGTCCCCAAGGAATTTTCAGGAATATTGAGCTGGGCTTTGGATTGCTAATGAAATTTTATAGGAATTGGAGTGAGCAAAATTTATGTCACTGAGGGGAGGCATCAGAGTTACACAGAAACAATCTCCCCAACTTTCTTATCACTAAAACAAGAGATGTATTAGATTTCACAAAAACAGTACCTTAAAGTGCTTGTGTTTGGGAGAGGAGGCTGTGTGGTGCTAAAGTAAGTCTAATTACTGCCAACTCTCTGAGTCAGAAATATTAAAAGTAGATAATTGTTGAATTGGTCGGTTCTCTATTAGACAACTCTTCCCAGATATTGCTATGCATTGTTTGCACCCAGAAAGCAGAGCTCATTAATGCAAGGTAAGTCTCTGGATTATGTAATGTGTTCCTGTGGTATGTGTTTGGCAATCTCCAGACCTTGGAGGCCATAGTGTTAGACCAGTGGGGTCAGACCAGACCTGGGTTCAGCAACCTTGGTACTTGGGTTCTGGCTAGGAAAGAATTCAGAGTCAAGACTCAAACTATAAGATAACATTTATTTGGTAAATCACAGAGGTAGAAGTAATTCCTAAAAGAAATAGTCTTAGGAAACAAGTTATAGAGGCAAAGGAAGGGGCCTTGGTGCTTGGGAGTGAGGAAGCTAATGGTAACAGCCTTGGTGGGGTGGAGGGGAGGGAGGAAAGGAAAGGCTAGGGCATGCTCCAGGGAGGGAGAGCGCACTGGGTCCTCTTTCCTAAGGGTTTTAAGGGTGGAGATCTTAGGGGAGGTCCCAGGGGAAGATTTTATTATAATATTCAGTAGCTTTCCAGGTGTGTCCTTTCAGGATTGTGGTCTTCACTGATTGATTGGTTGGCTCCAAGGCAGGGGTCATTATCCAATGCAGCTGGTCCTGAGGTCAGCTGTGGCTGGTTTTGTTGCTTTTCTGAGCCTGGAGCTGAAATACAACTGAGGCCTACATGTTATCTCTAGGAAGGAAAGATCAGGGGGTCCAAATTGCATGACCAATGATGTGCTAGGGGAGGAAAGGCCACCCTGGGGGCCTCTTCCTGAATTCCAACATGGAATTAATCTATATTCAACTTTTCCTCTCCTGAGTCTACCTCCTATCTCTTGCAGGATGTGCTGTGAAAACTAATTTTTAAAAAATTAGGTATATACATGAGGGTATTATTTGTAGCAGTGATTTTCAACTGAGGTGGGGGGAAGGTAATAAGGAAGAGAAGGATTCTGCCCCTCAGGGCAAAAAGAAGCTGCATTTGGCTAACATTTGGAGACAATTTTGGTTGTCACAACTGCAGGGTTTACTAATATCTAGTGGGTAAACATCCTACAGTGCATGGGACATCTTCCCACAACAAAGAATTATCCAGCCCAAATGTCAATAGTACCAAGGCTGAGAAACTCTGGCTTATATCCATCTCCCGGAAGAGTTATTGAAAATGAAACTTGAGGAATACCTACCTATTACTTAAGTTTCAGTTTCCCAAGCAGATTTTAGATCAGTTGCCATCTTTCACTTTTCATTTCCCTTTTTCTCTAGTTGCTTTTTAATATTCATGAGGAGAAATTCAAAATGTAATGCACTATTGATTTTCCCAAGAATCCACACAATCCAACAGTCTGTGGAAAAGATGATTGATATTCAAATTCCATCCAGTAATTACAGCATGTTCAACACCCACTTAACAGTCAGGTCTTTGTTTCTTCTCAATCCTGAAAATGTATATTTCTTTAAAATTTTTATAGATGGCTTTTGTCTTTCTGAATATCAATTTCTAAAACATATAAGTAGATAATCAGGAGGTTTTTTTTCCTTTGATTTTTACCATTGTTTGCTTGTTATCCGTTTAAACCTTAATAAGCAGAGACTATCTCTTGGCCCAGATACAGCTGAGAGAAAGGAAAGGAAAGAAGTAGGAACAAAGAAGGAAAAGCATGATCAAGGCACTGGAAATTTTTTCAAACATTGGAGCTCTATTAAATTTTTCCACATCCTGCCCGGCCGGGCGTGGCTCAGTGGTAGAGCATCGACCTGGGATCCAGGCAATCAGGGTTCAATTCCCGGTCAGGGCACATGCCCGGGTTGCCGGCTAGCTGATCAATGACTCTCTCATCATTGATGTTTCTATCTCTCCCTCTCCTTTCCTCTCTCTGAAATCAATAAAGATATATTTTAAGAAAAATTTTTTTTTTTCTACATCCCTGGTAAGAAGGAAGTTCTAGGTTTATTTTTCTATTGAACCATTCAGTACCTTTCTAAAATGTGGTTTCCTAGTTAACAAACTATTGCAATAGCCTACAAGCTACCACACACACATTGTCTCTCTGATCTCATGTCTTACAACTTTTCTTTGCTCTCTCCAACCCAACTACATCATCCGTGCTAGCCAACTATGCTCCTACATCCAGGCCTTTATGCTTACTGTTTCCCCTGCCTGGCACACACTTCCCTCACCGCATATCCACTCGTTCACCACTCATTTGTTCAACTGCCACTTTCTGTGAAACCTCCCATTACCGATATAGCTATAACAGCAAAATACCCTGAACTCCAACCCTCTCTATGCCTTTTTGCCATAGAACCAAATGACATATAATGTTTTATTTGTTCTTTACCTTCATCTCACACACTAGAAACTAACGCCATGAAGGTAGATCCTTTGTCTATTTAATTCATTGCTATTTTCAACAGTGCCTGAACAACTGTGGCTCTTAGCAGTTGTTCAATACAATTTATTGAATGAATGATTGATTGAAGTTGAAGGGGAGAAAAGTTTTAGTGTATGGATATTTGGCCTTTTTTGCTTAGATTGGCAATACCACCCCCATCTTTGTTGGGACCTTATTACAGGAAGCACTGTTGGCAAGGGCAAGGCAGGCAAACACTATACAATTGAGAGTGGCGGTGTATAAATCTCTCCACAAAGCTATTCAGCAGTACCTGCCAAAATTTAAAATATGTACATTTTGACCCCAAAAATTATCTAAACTTACCCAATGGAAATAATGGCAGAGATGCACACACATCGTTGCAATGTTGTTTACTGAATCAAGACTGCAATCAGTTTCTGCACAGGATGCACAAAACTGGAAAGAGGATCACCGCCACGCTTACAACAAAAATAACACTGAACAATCTCCTGCCGCTTTATTATTTTTTTTAAAGGTTAATCTAGTGGCAGGGGGTCTCAGGGAGACCAAGGTCCAGAGGCCCAGCTGCATATTCAACTCTAAACAAGCCTGAGCTCCGCAAAGGTCTCTCCGCGGCCCCTATGTCCGCCGTGGGGGCAGGGAGAGGTTTGGGGTGTAGAGGGTTCCCACTCTTCCCTTCAAAAGTTTCTGTTTCCTGGAGCCGGACCCCGCCTAGTCCGGGATCAGATTCACTATCTAGTTTCCTTTTCCCGCTCCGATCCTGCCGGTAACAAAGACAGACGCCGGGGCATCGACCTAGCTCTGCGGACGCCTCCGGGGGAAGCGCGCGCACGCC